GGAGGTCTTTGAGCTTCTGTGGCTCTGAAGTCTCATTTAGGCAGGGGGATGGGAGCCACACGTTAGGGTAAGCACACTGGAGGCATTTGACCACTGAGTCCACCCAGCTGCTGTTTTTGAAGGCATTCAGTTCAGGTCCTTCCTGTGGTTAATCTTTCATGTCAGCCCACATTTCTTTTTCTGTCGTGTGACATTTGTTTGGACAGGTTTTACCATAGTATGAAATAGTTTTTCTGTTTCTCTGTGGCTAAAAGTAACTCTCCCTATGTCATGGGCAAAGGCAAGACAAAGTGGGTCACCTTCCAGCTGCCCCAGTTCCAGTTTAGGCTCTTGTGAAAACCTCTCAATGGTCTCCGCAGACTCTCCCGCCTAGAAACCGTCTTCTCATTCGTCCTAGAGTCCTATCCTGTTTGAAAACTCTTCAAGGGCCAAATTAGAGCCAAACCCTTTAACCTGACATTTAATCCTGCACACTCTGAATCAAACCTACATTGTAGGCATTCACTCCTGCAAACTGAAGCTCTGACCAATCTATTGTTAGTTCTTCTCTGCTAAACTTTACACTTTCCCACCTTTGTGCTGGTCATTATTTCTATCTAGTGATGATGCTTTAAGGATCATGCAGGCAAGGTCTTTGATTAATTCAGAGGAATTACATCTAGTACATTCAGGAAAAGTACATTTAGTTGCCGGGGTTCAGGGAAAGACCCAGAATATAAATTGTATTTTAATTGGGCATTCCAGGATGTGATTCAGTAAACGGAATAATCCTGTGTATAGATAAAGAAATTAAGACGCTCTACTACCAGTCAACGTAAAACGTATAAGTAAAACGTATAAATATGTTTCCCGCATACAATGTGTTAACACATATTTATTTGAAAATTCCTCTTTTGAAATAAATTGTAGCTTTGAAATAAAAATAATAAAGCAATGACAGCATAGGGTACTATAATAATTCAAGTTCTAGGAATTCAAATCTATACTCTCATTTTATTAAATAAAATGTTTTAGAATATGAAAAACTAGGTAATCCAGTTACTAAGCTGTTTATCTCTACCTCTTTTAGTGTACACTCTGAGATTAAATTTATTTCAATATAGGCATCTATAGAGTTGTACATTCGGACCATCTGCTAGTAGCTTAAATTGGCCGATTTAAATGGTATTCTCATTTTCAGTTCTGATTTCCCTTGTTACCAAGTTATTTGTGAGATGATTGGCAGAAACTAGGATTAAAGTCTAGGACAATGATTCACAAAATATGCCCATGAACTTGGTTTCACTAAGACAAATGACTAATTTTTTTTTTACTTTGTATTTTATTTTTTACTTATCTTATTTGTATAGAAATTATTCATAATTTCCAGTGTACTCACTGGTTCCAGTATTACACAGAATATTACTAAATGGCTATATATTATAGTTAATATATATCTGCTATATGGTTTTTAAATATGACCTGGCTATTACATAACTATCTTGAAGCTATGCTCAAATTCAGTTCATCTCCTAGTTTAGCATTCATCTTTATTGGAGCTGCATTAGTAAGACTCCTTCCATTTTCTCCTATAGCAACTGCTATTGGGTCTCATTCAAAAGATAGTTTTACTTGTGGAAGAAGTGACTTCTGTGGATTTAAAATTATAGAGAGAAGCAGTGGAGCATGGTGGTTAACGGCAAGCTCTCAGGAGACAAACTGTCTGGGACTAAATTCCAAGACCATTTATTAGCTGTTTATCTTTGCCTAAGGTAGTTAAACTTTGTTTCAGTTTTACCATCTACAAAATGGGGATGATGATAACCATACTTATAAGACTGTTGTAAGAATGGAGTGTATCTATATATAAGTATCCTCTCTCATTTTATATGAAACATATGATATGACATATCATATATATGAAATGAGAGAGACCATTTAGAATATCTTTTACATAATAAGTAGTTTGTAAATAATAATAATACTGTTATTATTATTATTATTAGCTATAACTTGAATATGAAGGCCCAAAGGCCTTAATTTACTAATAGGAAATAGCTGTTAGTAAATTTGTTTACTGTATTTTTGTTTACATATCTACTGGCAGGTAAATAACCAAAAAATTACTTTATATTTCCCAAAAGTATTTGGATTTTGTCTTCATATCATTTCAAACTACAAGTCTAAGTTCAATTAAAACTTTCATCGCTGGCACTTTGATGAAGCCCCGAGGATAGAGTTTATAGATTTGTCGCTTGTTCATCTTGACTCACCAGGGGTAACATGTGAAGAAACACTGAACTGGAGGATCTGCCATGGGATGTTTTGGTCTATCTTCTTTCTTCTGCGAACAACTTGTGTCTAATTACAAATACCTATGAGATTTGAACTATTTGAACTGACAGTCTAAATGGATCAAATGGATTGAAAAACTGTCAAAACCCTTCCACATTTTGTGTTAAAGACAGATCTCTCAATGAAGGAAAAGAAGGCAGAAGGCTTATCATCCACTGAACTCTGAGTCAGTACCACTTTCTGTTCTGGTTGTGTCTACCTTTATAATCTCCTACTTTGGGCCCAGCGTTACAGCTAGGGAACCGTAGGTTTATTCAATCTTAGAGCTGGAAGGGGTTTCAAGGAGATCTAGTTCTAATCTTCTTTTCACAAATGAGGGAACGGAGATTCATTTCATTTAAATCACATATCATTCACATGGATATGATTCATTTAGAGTTTAAAGGGTGACATATCAAGGGGATAAACTTGTCACTTCACAGTCATCAACAATCTCTGAATTCTGAATTCTTGGGCACTAAACAGAATTTCCAAGTTCTTTGGTAGCTGCTTGTTTCTTTGAAACTTGTTGAAAATACAAATAGAATATCATATCTGAAAGTTTATGTTTACTACTATTTCCTTCCTGTGGTTTCCATGTGCAAGCAGAACTTCATCAAGAGCTGCTACAGGATTTCCCATCATCACTGAAGTGCAATCCAGCAACTATTACATTCAACACTACAAAACACAGACTCTGGGATTCTTGAAGCTACTGTCAGGTACTCTTTGAATCATATTTCTTTTGACTTAATTGAAATTAAACTTGTTAGTTTCTTTCCCAATTACACTCTGCTGTGAAATGATATATTTTAGCTTCTGAATATTTCATACTTTTTACCCCATCTCCCTACACACATAAATAAACCTACATATATGTATATAATCACTCAATGGAGCCAAAGAAATTAATTGGCTGAAAAAATATTTATGATATACGATCAAGTATTTATCATAATAAAGTAATTTATCCTAAAACTCAAAATCATTTCTTTATCTTGACTTCCTTTCCATTCCTAAAAAAGATCTTTCTGTATTAGAGGTGCTTAACTTGCCATAAAGTATAGGTAAAATTCCATACTACTCTGATAACCAATGCTACTCTATTATACTTCAAACTTGTTTTCATAGAAAGGGACTTTGTAACAAAAATTGTATAAAAGCTCACAAAAACATGATTCAAGAAGGCAGGGCTTACACATAAAAGAAACTGGTATCCAGCTCTCCTATTAAGAATGAGCAAGTGAAAAGAGATGCTCTGAACCTAATAATGAAAACTGCCTCTTCTGGCTCCCATCCTATCAACTTTAAAAAATCTTCCCAGCTAAGAAACTTATTTATTTCTCTTTGTTATATCTGTTTTGAAGCTGATTTAAAATTCTTTAGAGGTCAGTTGGCATTTTTGAGGCGGTGAGTAAAGAGATGAAGAACTGTCAATAGTTTCTATTAGCCTCTGAGTGCCCACATGGCCTCTACTCCCTCTCTCATTTTTTCCTGTTCTGTCACAATGTGTAGGGCACAGTTAGAGCTGTCATGGGATTTTATTTTTATTCCTTCATTGAAGTGCATTCACACCTATCTTTTTAGTGATGAAACTTATAGCACTGGAATCGCTTATTCACTTGAACTCGGAAAGAGTGTGAATCAGCCCTTCCCACCTGCAGAATGCATTTTGAAATCTGCCATTTATGCCCTGACACTAGTTTTTCTCATTTGCTTGAACCTCCCCCGCAGCCTACTCCTAGATCTCTTTTCATTTTTTGTCACTACGTTGACTTTATCTTAAAAAAAACCACAATAAACCAAAAAACAAAACAAAACTAAAACCAAAACCAAAATGCTCTTCTGTGAAGGGCGGACATGCAAAGTAAAGTGTTTTTTTTAGACCAGGTAAGAGTTTATGCTGACTCATCCTCATGTGCATCCCCAAACCAGGAGCACTTGTTTGCTGTGGTCAGGATTGCAGGCAACCTGTGACTAGGGAGTGGGAAGTAGCCAACTGGCCCTCACTGAAAAATACTACATCCATGTCTTATTGGCACGTGCATTAAACCAACAGAGTTAAACGTCCCTAAACAGTTATATCCAGCCTTTGTGAACTCAGTGCCTCTAAGTCCTCTTCTTCCAATAGTTTGGCTCTTATGCTGGTATCTGAACAGATTGTAAAGTGGGAACCAAGTAAGTTTGGAAGCACATATGGCCAAGGTGAAATGTTAACAAGAATCATTCAGACCTCAAATTTGAAACTACAGAAAAAGGGGAGACTTTTCTAAGAGGAGAATTGTTTTCCTCCATAACAGACGGATAGGGTCTGAATTGAACTGAATCAAAATTAGCCAGTTTTGAAGCACCTGTGGGAGAGCTTTTGTAATTTCTCTGTGGCGATTCACAAACCACTGGATACATAATGCTGTACTAAAAGGAATTTAAGCCTGTCAGGTTAATTACACAATATTAGGTACGAAAACAAACAGTGCAACACAAAACATAGCTACATCATTATTTGCAGTAAATGTTAACTCTAAATAAGTGCAACCTGTCCATAAATGCTTGCTATAAACTAATTAAAAAAATAAAATTTGATGGATAAACATGAAAAAAAAATTCTCACCGAGAATTTTTTTTTTAAATATCAGCACTCATTTAGAGTTTGGGATTTGTGAAAGAAAGCTTTAAAAGGAGCAAACCTGATTGGCTGTGGCTGTTGCTGCGAAGGGGACACTTGTTGCAGGAGTTGTTGCTGCAGAGACAGTGGCTGACGTAGCGCTGTGCATCATGGGTACTTTCAGGAGGGGAACCATGGGAGCAATGAACAGGAGGGTGTAGCATTATGGTAATAGAAGTGGTATTTTGGCATGGTGAATATCAGAGCAGCAAGCCATCATGGGTTAAACCAGCAGATGGCATGCAATCACAATGCAAAGCAAGGAAGCATGGGAGAGAAATAAAAAAGGGAAAATAGCTTATTACAAGTACAATTAAAGGAAGTTTTAAAACATAATCAGTGATTCCCAGAAAGGCCAAAGCAGATTACTTTGGTTGATGTATTTACAAACATTTTACTTCTAACAATAGATCATTCCCAATTCAGAGTCTATAGTGTTTGTAATAAAGGTTGCTTCTAAACACGTGAAATGTAATGTCCAATTAAGTAAGAGTATATGATAGTCATTGTTAATCATACTTCCAAAATATCAAAGATACAATATGTAGGCCTACTTTGGGATATGATATTCTTCAGAATTTGTAATTAAGTTGAAAAAAATTGTTTTTTGGTCAATTTGGGGCTACTTGTTTGAACTGAAATTACCAGGGATTGTGGTTTATATGAGTCAATAAACTATAGAGCAAACATCATGGCCTTGATGTAAATTTTAACACAGTTACTGCGAAATAGCCAGACGAGTTTTGCCAAGGCTTACTTTCCTTTACTCTAAATGGAACTGATTCATTGTCCTGAAGACAGGCTTTTGCACCAAGGCGCTGGGATATATGGGGATAACTATATACTATTAAGGTTAATATGCCAAGGGGATGCTAATGTGCAAATATTCATTGCAAATAAATCAACACTTAAAATTAAAAAGAATAATAAGCAAGGCAGGCCAGATATTTGTTTTCAAAATACATCCATTTATAATTTTTTAAAAATAAATACTTCTGGGAAACTCTGATAATTCTAACACACAGCAAAGAGGAGATAAAGGCACACCACCATGAAACTTTAAAACATTGATGAAATCAGCCTGCCTCTCTGATTAAGCTTTTTTTTCTTTTGCTAAACCATATAAGCTATAAAGAAAAACAAAATACAGATCATTTAAAAACAGACTCATACTTGTGGTTTTATGTTTTGTAGTGGTTGTCCTAGCACAGTGGTTGTTCTAGTCACATCAAAATAGTCATTTTCTTAAATAGACAAGTACATTTAACAAACCTATACATAAACTCTAAAGCCAAATAAGCCTTCAGATCTACCATTTCCTAAAGCATTTCTACCATCTCTGAAATAAATTTCAAGCAAGTGAAGTATTATACATAATATAAAAGACAAATAAAAAAAGGTTGAAACCTACCAATACTGGTAGCGGGTGTCATGCACAAAACTGACCCTGCATGGCATGCAATGGTAGGTGGAAAAAGTGAATAAAGGGAAAGAAACAGGTTAGCGGTTTAGAGTTAACATTCAAAGTGAGATTGAAGCACAACCAGAAATAAGTAGGGTTAGTTAACACAGTCTTTTAGCATCATTCACATTTTCAGCACTGACACAACTATATCTGCTTTATTTTAAGCCAATATTACTCAAAGCTCACTTCTTAGACTACTGTTCACACTTTCTATTCATATACATTGACATAATTCTAATAAGAATGACATGTGATAATGCTGCAGTGTCCTTCCTCAAAGACCTCAAAGTACTTTACAGATATCATCAAATTAATCCTCCAAGGTAGGAAGTAGATATTTTACAGATGAAAAATCTGAGGCATGGTAACTCCTCCAAGGTCATGCATAGTGTGAGTCAAGGGTAAGGCTAGAAATAGAATTCTATTCCTGAATCCAGTTCGGGTTTTGTACTCACAGAGTTATGCTGACCTTGTTGCATTATAGTTTGCTTGTTTGGTCGCAAAGTGTTTTGTGTCAATAACAATATGATAATAAAAACAGCCAATAATTAAAGACTCTGGATCCTCCAAATCAAAGACTTGAAGGTCAGGTGAATTTTAAATTACTGCTTAAAAGCTCTACAATGTAGGAAGACTGAGGTTTCTATGGCAGAATCACCTGGATGTGTATGGGATCTATTTTCTGCTACCACATTCATTATGACAAAGGAGTGGTGCCTAGCAATAAATCTAAACACTGTAGAGGCAAAAGAATGCAGAATTGGGGCGGAGTAGAGCCAGGGTTAGGAATCTCTGTCATAGCTTGCTATTAGGTGATCCCTGATGGGGACCTTTGGCAAAATTCCTAGGAAATGTCAAGTTGATGTCTAAGTGGGTAAGTGGGAGGTGGGGAGGGAGGATTTTAGCCCTTCCTTGGGAATAATTGCCTTGGCTGTGGATGGTCTTATTAATGTTCTTCAATCAGAAAAATATGACCACAAATACTAGTGTATATTGTGGAGGACTGAAAAAAACAAACAAAACCCAAACTGTGTTAAAATAACTGTGTCCTTCTGGTTCAGTTCCTTAGGATGAAAACCAAAGTAATACAAGGATTTAGGTAACTGAAGATTGGGTATCATATGGGTGCCAAAGAATTAGTTTGTAATGAATGTAGGTGTACCCACTTAGGTTTAGAACTGCCTTCTGAGATACTAGATGCAGAAGCTGAGATATTTAGGTCTTTATTCTCTCTGCTGAACTGTTTACACCTGAGGCAGACTTTTTGCCTGGTCTGCATTTTGATCAGGCTAATATTAACTGGTCAGAAAAAGAGGCTATTTAACTGGACTAGTACTGAATTCCTTAGCAAACATGCCAATATATCCAATTATAAATACACACATAGCTCAGCTGGCATGGCTCAGTAGTTGAACATCAACCTGTGAACCAGGAGGTCATGGTTCAATTCTCTATGAACCAGGAGGTCACAGTTTGATTCCTGGTCAGGGCAGGGTACATGCCGGGTTGCGGGCTTGATCCCCAGGGTGGGGCATGCAGGAGGCAGATGATCAATGACTCTCATCATTGATGTTTTTATCTCTCCCCCTCTCCATTCCCCTCTGAAATCAATAAAAATATATTTTAAAAAATAAAAATAACATACACACAGACCCCAACACCTCAAAATCCTGTTCCTGACATTTCTGATTTTTCTCCAGCCTTATCTTTCTAATATTCTTTACAATCAAATTTTTCAAGTTACCTACACAAATTTTCACTTCATTGTCCCCAATTATTCTTCCATCCTCTCCAATTTGGCTTTCATTTTGACCTCTCTATTCAAACTGCTAATGCCACCGAAGATTTCCATATTTCGGCAATCAGTAAGAGCTCTTTCATCTTCACCTAACTTTCTGACCTCAGTAACATTTAGCACTTGGCCACTCCGCCCATAGAAAACTACTTTTTTCTTACATTTTCTAAT